GGATTCGGGAGAAGATGGCGAAGGATGCCTTCCTCGCTTCATCGAGATGACCTCGTGCCAGGCTCTTCATCGCAGATGCAAACATGAACTGGTCTGTCAGGTCGTGAGAGCCTCGCACGCCATTTACGATAAATGCAGAGAGTCAGCGAAGAAGATGCCTGTTTATGCTGTCATTGATGAGGAGTGGAGAAGAAATGCTTTCCTCAACGTGTTCATGCTCTTATACCCTGAGTTGCCTGTCCTTTGGGTAGACAGGTACAAATTCCGTGGGAAGCCTGCCCCCCCGGATTCGTTCCCCCTCGTCGTTGTCACCGAGGAGGAAATGATGGGATGCCACCCCATGAACGTCACGATGATCCTCGACTTTCCTGGTACAGTGTGGAAGAACTACTGTCGATTGATAGCGACCACTGGGAAAAACAAGATCCTCGTGATCGAGGAAGAAGAGTGGAGAACGGGGAAGTTTTCTTTCGTCCCTGAAGTGGTAAGAAATAATCCGAAATGGAAGACCAAGAAAGAAGTGAAGGAAGAAGACCTCAAAATAAAACTGGAGGAGGCGTGGCAAAAATACGATGACGTGAATGAGAACGTCTTATACCTGAGGGAGTGGAAATATTCTAAGCAATCTATCTCTAGAACGGATCTGAATCTGGATTGGTGTGAAATAGAGAAAGATCCAGACGTGGAATTCATTCAAGAAACGCGGCTCATTGGAATATTTGGATACCCTGCCTCGGGAAAATCCAGGAAAGTGGATGCGTTCATTAGACGAGAGGAGAACCAGGTTCTTGTTCTCCACTGCGGCGGTGATTTGCTTTGCCAAATCCAGCGACAGCGATGGAGGGCGAAAACTAATGTGAATGTCTCTTCAGTTACAGTCGACTCTATCCCGAGCATCCTAAAGGAGTCCAGGTTCTTGTTCTCCACTGCGGCGGTGATTTGCTTTGCCAAATCCAGCGACAGCGATGGAGGGCGAAAACTAATGTGAATGTCTCTTCAGTTACAGTCGACTCTATCCCGAGCATCCTAAAGGAGGTAAACAAACATAGAGAGGAGGAGGGGAAAGAAAAAAAAGCCGTAAAAGAGAACGAAGAAGAGGAAGAAGAATCTTCTTCCTCTTCCTCTTCTTCCGATTTATCTTTCTCTTTTTCCGAAGAAAAGGAGATGTTGGAGGGAAAAGAGAAGGCTGAGTGGGATCCCCTTGTTGTAGTAGTCGAAGACTGTCCTATTTTCCCGTTGACAGAAACATCACATATTGTGAAGACATTGGAAAACAATAAATTAAAACTCATTCTCGCTTTTAAGCCTCATTCAGATTCGAAGGTCTCAGTGAAGGAAACAGTAGACATGCTGCAAAACGACAAAGGTTGCGTAGCGATTGTACTTGAGTATGAACCGACCAACGTGGCTCTAATGAAGCACATCCGAGAAAACGAGATTCCAACTTCTTTGAACTTGAACTCAAGGAATCTGTCTGTGACTGCAAAGCCTGCAGCGATTGTCCCAGGCCCTCCTGTCCAATACGTCAAAATTGATGCCAATAATTGTTCAGGAAAGCATTTTGGATATATCTGTTCTGAGAGGGGTTCATGTGGGATCACAGCAAATGTTCTCTCATCTGATAAAATAAATAAACTTTTGGAAATGAAAAACCAATCTGAGCACAAAGATGCCATCCAGCATGAAGCCGAGTCCGCACAGAAAGACATACCCAAGCAGAAGGCCAAATCCAAGAAAAAAGGGAAATCTAAGCAACAAGGAAAATCCAAGCAACAAGGGAAATCCGAGCAAAAGGACAATTTTAAGAACAGGGTACAAAGACAGAAAGTTGAATCCGAAAATGCATACATCCTGGTTTCAGACGAAGGCTTACTCGAACCACTGTTAAAGATGGTGAAGAATACCTGGAAAAATGAAAGTGAAAAAGACCTGATCCAAGTGAAACACCTGAAGGACTTTCGTGGGTGCGAAGCTTCAGTCATTGTCTCTTTCAACGTGAGCGACGACTGGCTGCTGGAGGTCATCTCCCGCTCCAGGACTCAACTCATCATCATCGACAACCTTTTCGAACATCAAAACCTATGGAAACAAATGGAGAAAGAAGGTCGCGTTGTGGTCATCCCCTGCCCACTGGAGCCTGAAAATGACCTGAGCATCCTCCTGCGATTAGATGACCAGGAATCGTTCCTACTGGTGAGTCACAATTCTTTTTCACCAGATGAATTCAATCCGATCTCTCTCTCCCTCTCTCTCTCAGCATCCTTGTGGAAGCTACCGTAAAAGTGGAACCTCATCGAGGGAGATCACTTGGGAAGTGTTCATAATTGAAGCAGACTTTGGTACACAGATAAACCGCGCGTAGACGCTTTGCTTAAATGTGACTACTTATGCGTTACCTGAGAGCTCTGGCGATGAGGGTTTATCAGCGATTCATAAGCTTATGTGAACAGCATGCATACTCTTAGATTCGCCGAATATCCGTGACGATTGTACTTCGGGTGTTCAATAAGTCTTGAAACTTGATTAAAATTAACAAATAAATGGCTTTAATATGTAATGTACTGTAGTCCCCTACTAAGTCCATGACATATTGACAACGGCCCAGTTGCCTCCCGACGTCATGAAGTTCATGAAGTCACAACGGCGGATGTGTGGGGTCGAGCGTTGTCCAACTGTGCAAACAAAGCAACAAGTGCTGGTTTCGAGCAGATCGGAACCTGCTCCAAGTAGTCAAGCGGAACGTGGCTGACGAGAAGACCCTTCTTCTTGCCTTTACTCCGAACAAGCACTTTTCTATCGACACCACTGCCTCAAAAGAGTTTCCCTCCCACCGCATTATTGACTTTGCTCGTCACACACAGATGATCTGCGGAGATGCTTGCTCTCGAAGCCGATCTACCTGAACGAAGTCATTTAGCAGTGGGACAATGTGGAACCCGACACATCCGCCGCTGTGAAGGACTTCATGACCTAGCGAAACATCACGTCGCGCTTGCAAACCCGTACAGTCCGGATTTCAATCTGTGCGACAGTTTCCTCTTTAACTGGAAGAAAAACGACTTCGAGAAAAGCGTTTTTCTTCCATCATCATCAGGTGAAGGACGCCGCGTTGCAGTGGGCTGGGACGCTAGACGAGGAGGCGCTCAAAGAGCAGGTCGGGTGGCTGCTGGACCACTGTCAAGATAACATAGACTCAGGAGGGGACTACATTACACATTAAAGCCATTTATTTGTTAATTTAAATCACATCTTTTGTTTTATTGAACCAGTCTTAAGACTAATTGGACACCCGAAGAATATGTCTCAAAGAGACATGAGAGCGGACTCTCAATAAGGAAGGAGATCTTCTGACCCTTGAAATGCAAGCCGAATTTGTTCTTTCTTTCATCTACACACAGAAATTTCAGTGCCTCAGTTCGATGCATTTTTCTCGCAAAAAAATCTGTCCTCCATGTGATGCGTCTTTATTGCATCGAATTTTGGATGCGATGAAGACGCATCACATGGAGGACAAATTTTGGATGCGATAAAAGCGCATCACATGGAAGACAACTTTTTTTTCTACCAAATTGCATTAATTTGATTCTGTGTGCATAGGACGATCGCCCACCTCCTATGGGGCACTTCCATTTTCCTCAATGAAGCAGCTGTCACTGCTTCAATCGCATATCATTTTAACAATAAAATATAAACATGCATAACACTCAATACAAATGGTGGTGTCGGGCACAGAGTTTAATGCAAAATCATCGATGAAACTGAAATATAATATTGGACATCCATGGCGATGAAGTGCTAGGCAGGAACTTCAAAGGGTTCAGGAAATACGTCGTTTTCATATTGAATTCGTACCAAGTGGCTGTATTTGGGCTGAAGAGTCAGGGGGCCAGGGCAGGAAAGTAGGGGTGCCCAACCCCATCCTAGCGATATCAGCGACATCATATTAATATTTTTCACTTGAGTCAGAAACTGTTTCAATTGAATTCGGCACTCATGCATGAGGAACGTCCCATGCACGTCTGCCCGAATCAAGGGAAAAGTTGTTTAACTCAAGTGAAAACATTATCGCCAAGTAGGCGCCAAGCTCTGTCTCATGGGTGCCCCCCCCCCCGTAAAATACGCCATTATTCGTACCCCATTCATCCACAATACACACGAAAAGGAGCACTTCCATCGATTGCAGATAGCGACACCGATAANGGAGTCGAAGAATGAAGTAAGCGGTTAGATGGGAATCCCTTCGAGGCGCACGTGCTACTCGCGAACACGCTACACGCGAAGGTGAAGTGGCGAACAGGCCATGCACTCAGGCGGTTGCCTGTGAATCCCTTGACTGTCAATGCTTAGCCCCGAGGGTTCATGGGGGGGAGGGAGGGGGGAAGGCTTCCTCGGCACGAAGGGGAATACGGAGGTTAACATGCGTCTAGACGATGCAAGGCAACTCAAATCACCCTCTCGACCTGGCTATAGACGCATTTTGGTTTTGCAAACGCCTTTCAGGCGACCCGGCACGGTCGGGAAGCGAGAGATATAAATCGAAAATCTAGTTGATGTCTTTTTCTCTTGAGAAAAATAAATCGAAATGCGAAAATTGAGAGAAGTATATCGTCTCGATTCACCGATTTCTCCGAGTGTAAGTCGTTTGCCTTGTCGCCGTTATTAGAATAGCATAAATCACTTCTCCACTCACGCAGTTTTCAACTGTGTTGCAGAGTCCGACTTGGGATGAAGTACTACAACGAATCGGAGGGATGCCTGTGGAGGAGGAGGATATCCTGGACGAGGAAAAAGGTGCCATTCTCCTCAAAAACATACTCGAAGTATGGGAAGCCATCGATCCAGACTTGAATCCCTCATCCCCTTTCACTGATTGGAGTTACGTACATACTGGTAAGTGAAGGATTATCGAGAGAGACGATCCTCATGAATTTGGAAGAGAATGTAGAAGGAATTTTGAAGGAAGAGCCTTTTTGTTTCCACCCGTATCATCCCTTTTATCACCTTTCACTACTTTCTACTGCTGAGATTTAGATTCATTAGATTTGCTATACTGCTGCTCAACCCCATACAAATATAGAGTGCATAGGAGAAAACTGTTACCTTTGGAATTTACAAGAAAACTTATTTCTTGGCTAAAACTCGACAAGGCTTGGTGTTTCATCTGGCATATAAAAATAGGAAGTAACTAATCGTACGAGGATTGTGGAACTTTCTCCCAGGAGGCTCCATTTTGCAAGCACAGCGTGAGGTTTGACATGTCAATGATGCGCCATATATCCACAGATATTGCAGGGTGTAAACATTTCCCTGATACAGTATCTGTAGGCGATGAAAAATGACCAAGGCGAATGTGAATAGCACGAACACCAGAAGGCATAGTAGCAGTAACAATGGTAATTCAGTGCAGACAGTCTGTCAGTTTGTCACATCTTGAAGGATGGAATCTTGATCAACAATACTTGATCAACACAGGCTTTTGTGAATAAAACAGTTCCACAACCTTTTCTCGATGAGTTGCTTCCAATTTTTTTCATTGCAAATGAAACTGGAAACCGCGGAGAATATTGACCAACAAAAAAATGACCCACAAACAAATTTGATATTCAAATGTGCAGTCATCTCTGATACACCCTGTACTCCCAGGTGCACCTTTCAGAGATAGCCATTGTTTCTAAACTGGACTTTCTGATGGCGTCCATTTCATGTTTTGCCACCGTGACTTGAAAAAATTTCTTCCCGATCATGCAACCAAGGGCGAGAATTTTCTATCGGGGGGAGAAGAGAGGGAATGAAGCTCATTGAAGGGGGACTATACATCTCTCCTGAAGTCGATTCTCTCCTCTGGAGTCGCCCCTCTCCCTCCCTCTTGAGGTCAAATCCAACAGAAAAAAAATTAGCTATCATCCTAAAACACGTTTCTTGTCGTTACGAAGGAACGAAGGAAACGCATTTCTCTCCATTCTCTCACCTCCTTCCCCATGAACACCAAAACGTATGTATTGTCATGTCCTAAAACTTTTACATTGGCATTGTAATTTTGTTCATTCATTTGACTAAGATGTTGTGGGTAACTCTGATTCAATTTCCAAGTTCTCTAGGTATGCACACGCGATAGGATTTGCACGAATATTTTACTAAAAGAACTCTCATCGCGCATGAAAGACTCCTGCTCCTATTGAGAATGGAACCCCGAAATGAAGTTGAACTGGTAAAAATCTACTCCTTCTTTGTATCAAGAGGGCAAGCAAAACTGCATGGACTTTTCATCTAAAGCTTTCGAAACATTTACAATGAGTCATTTTCCAACTGATAGCGATATCCCCCTGAAGAAGTGAAATGAAGGATCCACTACTTGTAATAAACCAGCTGGGCAGGCCCAGCCCATTAGTGGGCCTCCTTTTAGTTCAGGAGACCCACATTTTGGCACCTAATTTAACAAACCCGCAACTCTTTCCAGTCTTGGCCCATCAACATCATTTTTCAGTTACGTTTAAAAAATACCGATGATGTACATGAAATGATGATGGGAGGATAGAGGATTGTACGTGCTTTGAACCATCTGCTATGAAGATCGGTAGGGAACTGACAGCTCTGGTTGCTGACACCCAAAGACATGGTCGTACGCGCATGCGCATTTTGATCCAGATCCTGAAGGACTCACGGGTACTCATGCCTTCCCCTCAGTGATAAAGTGTCAAATCCTAATTTTGCAATAAAAATGAAATTTTTTGTAAATTCGCCACAAATTGAACTCAATCGTTATCTTGCTCATATCTACCTGCTTGCCAATTTTTGTATTGGTCAGGCCAATATTATCTTAGCTATCATTAGACAACCAAATTGTGCCATGCGGACAGGACAGGACCATTAGTGGTCAATTAATTTCATGAAAGGAACTTTTAGAATGTTCAGATCCACCAAAAGGAAGTTCAGTCGATGAGTTTGTTTCCATTGATACTCCGTGCGCTCCAGATCGGTGGAGCACCTCCCAACCAATCAGCAAAAAAATAATTGCATGCCAAAAATTTAGCTGAGTTTTTTTTTCATGGAAGTCCTTTCTTTCAGCGATACTGATGAAGTTGAAAGGAAAATATTTTCAAGGAGGATACAGATGTGAGGCTCTATGTGAAAAGCTGCTAATTTTTTTCAAGAATTCTTTGTGTTCTGGCTCGAGGAACTTCTTCACGTGATCACCGAACAAATGATTTTTGACAGAGTAATTGTTCCTATTATTCTAATTAAGATTAGGAAATTCATAAAAGAACACACCAAGTGTTTATGAGCTCTATGAGACCAGAAAACGGCAGTGACTACGATATCCTAATTACTTGGCAAATTATTAAACCGTGGAATTCTTTATATGGATTCTGCACTCATTTTCTTGTTTCCACTTGTCAAGAATTAACAAGAAAGTGAATTCGGTTTGGTTCTCGTTCGCAGCGGTAGAGTTTGCGTTGCTTTCCATATGCTGCTTATTTTTTATGTGTTTGGAAGTCACAAAAGTAAACGGTGTGGAGTTAAGTGGTTATAGGGGAACATGGGAACTAGGTCAGAGTTGTAGTGATGGCTTCGGTTTCATTTCTGGGTCGGTCACGTTCTCGTCCCTTATAATGAATCTGCTACACGCTTCATTGATTGGCTTTAGGATTTCTTATTTCTGTTAGTAAGGAATGCCTTATATAGGGTGGACCAAAAAATGTTACATGATTTTGAAAATGTGGTATTTTGTTTCTAATAAAGATAAGAATGAGAAAAACGTTTCTAAATGATTAGAAAACTCCCAAGTTTCTTGTGCTTATAATGTGTGTTCAGATTGTCCTCTATTTTGTAGACAAGAGCGAACTCTGATGGCTAAGTTTTCAACTACCGCCTGAAGAGTTTCACATGTAACACCTGAAATGACGCGCGACTCTGCATCATTTAGGTCAAGAATCGTTGCAAGTTGTTCTTCAAAGATCTTCTCCTTCATATAGCCCCAGAGAAAATATTCCAGAGGGAATAGGTCTGGTGACCTGGCTGGCCATGGGAAGTCAGATTTATGAGAGGACATGGTTGGCGAAATGTTCCTGCAACCATTGTATGCAAGCTCCAGATGTGTGAGCTGTAACGCCTAGAGCAATAATAGATTAAGAGGAGGAACAATGCAAATCTGAAAAAGCCCGAGACAGAAGGGATGGGGTATCCATAGTGTCAACAGTCGATCGGGCGGCTAATGAACGAAAGAGGGAGTTGATTGCAAGTAATAAGGATATGGCCAGTATACTTAACGAGTTATTAGCTTCCGTTTTCACTGTCGAATCCGACTCGGCACCGACTTTGGAGGAGGTAACCTCGGCGCTCATCAAGGATATTTCCATCACTGAGAAGACGATCGTGAGTATGATCGGGAAGTTATAGGTGGGCAAGACGACCGGCCCCGATGGGATTCCTGCGAGAGTCACTAAGGAAACTGCGAGAGAAATATCGATTCCCCTAGGAATTATATTTGAAGGCAGATTTTCGCGCGGGAAGTACCTAAGGACTAGAGACTAGCAAATGTTGGGCCGACCATTCAGAAAGGTAAAAAGAGTAATCCAGGAAATTACGGGCCGGTAAGTCTCCCGAGTATCCCAGGGAAGATCATGGAAAGCATTCTAAGGGACCATCTCTTGGATTTCCTCGAAGGAAAGACGCTCATTTGGGACGCTCAATACGGCTTTAGGAGGCGTCGAAATTGTCTGATCAACTTGCTCGAATTCTACGACTGGGCGACGTAAGAGAGGGATAAGGGGAATCCTGTGGACATCGTATATTTAGATTTCATGAAAGCTTTCGATACCGTTCCTCACAAGATGTTGCGGGCTAAACTGGAGGCGCACGGGATCCAGGGTAGGACAAGCGAGTGGATCGGTAGCTGGTTGGCAGGAAGAAAGCAACGTATGATGATAAATGGGGAAGCTTGGAAGGGGGTCGGAGTCGCAAGCGGTGTCCCTCAAGGCTCGGTTCTTGGACTGCTTCTGTTTTTGGTCTAAATAAACGATTTTGATCTTGGCATAGAGGATGAAATAAGTAAATTTGCCGACGACACCAAGATAGGTTTTACCATGAGAGGGGAGGCGGATAGGGCTAGAGCCGAGCGAGATTTAAGTCTTTTGGATGAGTGGAGAAAGAAATGGCTCATGAGGCTTAATAAAACTAAGAGTAAAGTTCTGCACGTCGGTGGAAACAACGTTAGGTCTCTCGGCACGTTCGGCGATGTTAAACTAGATGAGGCAAATGGAGAGAGAGATTTAGGAGTTTGTATTTACGAGGACCTCGTCATTCGTCGTTCGGTTGCACGTAGGACTTCGCGCGTTATTCTTCTGTTGTATGCGCCGCTAAGACCCCAGTTGGAATATTTCATTCAGCTTTGGAGGCCTACAAATAAGGGAGATTTGTTAGCGCTCGAGGGAGTACAGAGGAGGGACACAAGAATGATTAAGGAGGTCGTGGGACTTTCATACGAGAAGCGTTTAGAAATGTTGGGACTGTACCCGCTCGAGCGAAGGTTAAGGAGGGCGATCTCATCCAGGCTTTCATCAATATCTATAAGCAAGGATCTCTGTCTCTGTCCATCTGACGCTATGCATTCGGACACCGTTGGAGATAT